CGCAGAAGAACAAGGCCACCCACCGTGGTCAAAGGGAGAGTCGGGAATTGGAAGGCCAGAAGAACAATAGTAATATTGACAGCAATGAGTTTTATTGTATCAACCAAGACCTGGCCAGGCGACAGCGAAGCATCTTGGAGAGCGACTCGCCAAATATTGAGTGTGCAGTGTAGCTGTGTGTGGGGCCCCCTGAATTTGCACTTCTCTCATGTCTCGTTCCTACTCTTCCATAAGCACTTAGCGCTGTGATGCGGCGGGGCAGCCTGACATCAAATTGTGCAGAATCCGAGTTCCTCTGTGTGTGTGTGTGTATGTGTGTGTGTGTGTGTATATATATATAAGTAAATATAGGTGGTGCCCCCCCGCCTTGTCCCTCAAATGTGTTCGTGTCCCTGGGTTGTTGCGTCTCTGGGAAAGCAAGTCTTTGTGTACCCTACTTCTGGCTCCCGAGGTTTCTAACATTTAGGGGTTACTGGATGTTTCTTAACCCTAAACCCTAAACCCGAAACTCAGGGTTTATTATGTTTTTGAATGCACGGCAGCGAGTTCAAGCCCTTACAGCGCAGAGGTTGAAGGCGAAGCTTTGCAAGCTCAAGCGCGACATCCTGGAACCTTCCGGTGGCGGCGGTGGCAAAGTCGCCGGGTTCGAGGCGCCCTGCCAGGACCCGGAAAAAAAAGCAGCAGACGAAGGGCAGCTCAGAGCTGGAGTTCACTGCCAGGTGCAAAGAATCGGAGATGCCCGGGTGGGCCTCGTGGGCTTTCCATCTGTGGGAAAGTCTTCCCTGCTCACTGCGCTTACCGGTGTCCAGCCAGGGGCTGATTCGATCCCGTGACATGAACACCTACAGGTGCCGAGTGCAATCATGCTGACGGGTGAATACTGAATAAGCCGTCAAGTGTTAATAGTGTTACCTTTTTGGGGTTTCCCTGTTTTGCGTAACTCAGTTGAATGCTGAAACATGAAATCGGTGGTCCCGCATGAATGGCTGCATAGCGCGGGCAAGTGCAAATCCAGTCGAGCCCCGAAGCAAGAAAAGATGCAGTTCTTCTGAGCTTCTGGTATGTTCTTGGTCTACCGTCGTTGCAGCCGTAGGTGTAGCAAGAGGAGCAAGAAGAAAGACTGCACAGTCAAGTCATTGACTGGGGCTAGATGCAGGGCGACTTCTGCTGCATGTGCATGACAAGGTCCGAGGCTGCTGCATACGAGCTGGAGCCCTTGAAGTCTCGGACACTTCATAGGGTGCCCGTTGCCTTGGAACTCAAGGTTCACGACGCTGACTTGCATCCCGGGCGTGATCTACTACAACGACGACAGAAGCTCAGCTTCCATCCCTGCGTCAGAGAGGGGGCCCATTTAGGTTTGAAGCTCCGGAGGTAAGAATTCAGCTCCTCGACCTTCCGGGCCTCATCGTGGGCTCGGCCCTCAGCTTCTCTTCGAGGGCTTCCGGAGCTTACGTCAGCTCTGCAAGATGTGGAGCCACAGGTGCGTCCATCGGCAAAGGCCGGGGACGGCAGGTGATTGCACCCCGGACAGCAAGCCTTTCCTTGCTCTCTTCGCAGAAGGCGGTTTCGAAGCTGATTGCGCATTGTGAAATGCCAGTGCCATAAGGCGACGGCAAAGTCATGCGATATCATCCTCATGGCAGCCCCGACGAGATTGATGCTAAGTTCCCTTGCAAACGAAGCACACGAGGGAAGATGGTTAGACCAGGTTCTAGATGCCACGAAGGATGACGCGCAAAAGGAGATGCTTACGAAGGACATTTTGCAGCGGTTCACTGCAGATGCGGAAGCCTATAGGCTTCGCTTTTTGAGCCTTGACCGGAGGAGCTGGAAAATGTTGGCATTCGGTTAAACAGAAAGCCTCCCGACGTGACCGTAAGACCGACCAAAGGAGGAGGCGTCTGGGTTTTTAGGTTTCGTGGTGCTCGAAGTTTCGGGTGCTGCTCGCTCGACTCCAGTCGATTTCGCAGATACTCTTGATCTGCTGCAGGTCTGAAATTTCAAGCGACAGTGCCGCTGACCCATTTCGACGAAGAGGTTTGCGCAACCATTTTGAGACAGAGCCCTGGCAGAACAGTAGTTACAGGCCAGACTTCGCTCTTTGTTTCAAGTAGTTCCAAGTCTTGATCAAGAGCTGAGCTCAGGTACAAGATGCACAATGCGGATGTATTGGTGCGAGAGGCCAGCAGCTTTACGGGTGCTGTCGAGACTTTCCTTTTCGCCCGACCCGTATCAGCAACAGGACATCACAGAGGATGACTTTATAGATGTCATCGACGGGAACCGCAAGTACTGCAAGTGCAGCCAAGATGCAGACCAGACGGGTATGTGTGCGTGAGAGGCTGTCTATTGCCGTGAGCCATGAGGTATCTACGTGTACAACAAGCCCCTCGGATGCCTCGGATTGGGCATTGCCGCTCAATGGTTGCGCATGAGAGGGGAGAGGGTTTACAACACATGGAAGGTCAAAAGCCCGTGTGCACCAGCCTGCATCGACAGTATGCAAGCAAGATCTCATGCATCAAAGATGGTGTGCACAGACGCTAGCTCCTGTATTCCGTTCACTGACCGGGCACGCCGGATATCCTTGCTGCAGCGCAAAATCAGAGACCACAAGGGTAGTCAAATGTAGTGAACATTCGGACATCGCGCTTCCGTCTAATGCCCATTGCGACACTTTGGCACCATCATGCTTTTCCTGACTCCCATTGCCGACCGGCTTCAAACTCCAGCCGCAAGCCGTTCTTTACTGTCGCCACTGCGCTCTGTCCCTCTGTGGAAGCCGACTTCAAGCTTCGCCGCAGTCAAAGCAGAAATGGAAGCTTCAAGCTGTGCCCAGGATAGACATGCTGCCGCTGGCAGAAGTGGACGAGTTAGCAAGGAGACCAAGCTCCGTGGTAGTTTCTGCAACTTGGTCGCCCGAAGTCGGTCGTAGAGAGAGATCAGAGTACGTGGTGAAGAATCACATGTCGTGCAACGTGATCCTGGGTGTTTCCTGATTGGAGTGGCAATTTGTTGATCTTACTTAAAGAGGGGATCATGGGATGTCCCAACCTTGCGGTTTTTGTTTGGGTGTTTTGTGGGTCCCCGTCACACTTGTTGAGGCCTCAGATTGATCTGCATTCGCAGAGGTCGTGTTTGAATGTCATCTCTACATTTCAGGCATGCGTGTGTGCGAGCCGCCTGTGAGGGCAGGGGAAGGCCCACCTCACATTCAGCCTTCGAAGCAGAGACCAACAGTGACAGGAAGGTGCGCAGGCGCAGCGTTGGATGCAAGGCCGATACAGGCAGAATATAGCATAAAGAACGGCTACAGAAGCTGTACTGAGGTACGCAACAAGTGGAATTACGTGCCCTGGTTCAACTTGCGGCTGATGCATGCTGATGCAGCATGTCGGTCTCACGACTCACGCACTGCCCTGCCAAGTCGCTACATCAGTGTCTAGCAGTGTCATGGTTGTCGGTTGAGACTTCCGATTGCAGCATGTTTGTATGCTTGGTAAAGTGCTTGATCATACTGTGCACCCAAGTTGTAGGAAGACACGCGGCCTCTGAGGATTACTTGATGAAACGACTTTGGGACGAGATGGAGATTGTCAGGTGGTTTGGAGCAGAGGGGGGCAGTTCTCAGAGCGCGTAGTGTGAGAGCAGAGGCTTGTGAGCTGAATTTCGCCTTTCTCATCCGTTTGAAATTTTGTGCTTTGTGTCCCTGAGGGTCTACACGAAGAAGAAGGGGGAGTTTCCAGACTTTTCCGTGCCCTTGGCATGTGCACTCATCGTTTGTTCGTGCAGCTTCAGCAGTAAAGTACACCACTTGCGCTGGACGATCATCTGAAGGACCCCCTCATCATCACACCGCAGCGTGGAAACAAGCAGTTCAATGTTGAAAATGCCGTGCAGCTTCTGCACAGCGCCTTGTCTGGAAGCTTTTGTCGGAAACGGTGCTCGCTCGTCTGCTTCCTGCGACTTGCCCGGGCAACTCAGAATCACTGCTGGACGACTTCAAGCATGCCTTGATTTGGGGTAGCAGCGTCAAGCAATCCCCGCAGGCAAGTCCGGGACCCTCAAGCGTCGACCGCTTTCGAAGCTCTGAGCCTGCAAGAACCGAGTTCCAAAAGCTGCAGCAGCTCGAGGCCTGTGGCAAAGACCACATAGTGCACGACGAGGATGTTCTTCAGATTGTCAAGTTGACACAGGCAAGGCCTGTGTCTGCACGTGTACGGTTGTTTGCGGCACTCCGCATGAGACCAGTTGAATCCATCTTTAGGGCCATGGATGAGCCTTTACTTGTCAGCTACGACTGCGACACAGTATGAAGCCTGGAGTGGAAGCCAAGCGCAGCTGCTGTGAGTGTGCCTGCAGTAGCCGTCGGCAGTGCGAAGTGCCATTTCATCTGTCAGGCAGAAAAAGCAAAAGCTGCGCATGGAAAGAAAACAGGACCCCTTCAGTTCCTGCGGATGCTTTCGTGAGATGACCGTCGCAACCAAAACTCGTCGGGAAAAGCTGCATTGTGGGAGGAACGACTATCGCGGGGTCGAACATCAAGGCCCGTCAAGCCATGTCAAAGGGTTTTACTAGTCGCTGTCGCAAGAGATCGCGCAACTGCCCGTGCAGGTCGACCCCAAGAAGAAAGACGAAAAGTCTGCGCCGAAAAGCTGACGCTAGAAATCTGCGAGAAATGTCAACCAGTCCGCCGTGCTGGTGCCACACTTATGCTTTCAAGAGACCTTTGAAAGTGGCCCAGCTGCAGAGTTGCGGCATCATGTGCCAGTGCATTAAGGCCGGTTTAGTAGTTAGGCTCTTTTCAAGATGGGTTTATTGGTGGACGGGCACAAGCAAGAATCAGTGCATAAGCATCTGAAGCTTGCGATCCGTTGACTATTCGATCGTGGTGGCCAAAAAAGCAGCGGACATGTGCCTGTGCAGATCGTGACATGTGGCATGTAAACGGCCCAGGGAATGATGCACGTGGAATCAGAGGCCCATTTGCTTCGAGCATGAGATATGCCTCTAGAATTTCCAGACTCCTGAAGCACCGGACGGTGCTGATTGATCATGCCGGTCGAGCGCGAGACTGGGTTGGGGCGCTTTGCATGCTGCATGAGATGGGCGGGGCTCGGCTGCTGGCTAACCTCATCACTTTCAACGCCAACATTACAGCGTGCGCCAGAAGTTCTCAGTGGCAGTCTTCGCTTGCATTGCTACTGGAACTCCGAGAGAGAAAACTCGAGCCGGACTGCACATCGTACAACTCGACAATTACCGCTTGCGAAAGGGGCTCGGCGATGCAGATGGCTTCTGAAGTCTTGGTTCAGATGCATGATGCAGGTGTCCAGGCAGATCTGTACACATACAATGCTAGTTTAAGCGGGCATGGGAAGGATGCAAAGTGGGAGATTGCCATGCAGCTCCTGGTTGCTATGGCAAGAAGACGCACTGAGCCGGATGTTGTAAGCTTCGGAGCTGCCCTCAGTGCATGTGAGAAGGCTTCGCAGTGGTTGGCCGCTGTGCAGCTGCTCGGGACTATGCGCTCCACAAGGCACTTGACAAGCTTGAACTAAAGCTGGCCCCGAAATTAGAGACAACACGTTGTTTGTGCGGTTTGCGACACATGTGTGCCAGCGCCCAGGCTAGATCCCAACGTCATCATCTACAGCACCTCCATTAGCGCTTGTGCGAAGTCCTCGCAATGGCAGTGCGCCCTTCATGTCCTCAGGGAGTTGCAGGTTGGACCAGTCGCTATTGTAGCGATGTCTCTCATGAGTCGAACAGCCTCGAACACCCTTACTTAAGACCCTTGAGATACTGGTCTAGAATTAGAAAAGACGCGGGGTTCGCGCGAGGCGCAGTTTATGAGAGCCGATGTGGTGGCCTACTCTGCAGCCATCAGTGCATGCAAGAAGGGAGCTGCTTGGCAGTCAGCCTTGGAGCTCCTTCAACACATGCCACTGGGCGGCAGAAAAGTTGAAGGGGACATTAGTAATCAGTGCCTGAAGTAGATGTTTGAACCTCACATGGATGTACTTCACGGGAGAACAAGGAAGCGGAATGGCCCACAGCCCAACATCATTGCCTACACGGCCAGCATGAATGCTTGTGAGCTGCTTGGCTCCCGTTCAAGCTTTTTTAAAGCTTCTGGGGAGATTCGGGGGTGTCGTCGACTGCATGCTAAGACGCGGCTCCTACTGGCCACTAACTCTGCAGCTCATGCAAGAAGTGAAAGGTCGGAATGACGAAAATGCGTGATGTGACTGCCTTGTCAGACCAGTGCCGCCAAGCCCACACGGTTATTGAAGGACGCTCCATGGAGCCGACAGAGATCACGTACGGAGCGGCCATGACGGCTTGTAGCAGGGGCTCCCTGTGGCAGCAACTTCGTTGCACTCAATTTGGAGCTTTGAGTTCTTCTAGATGCAGAAACCCAGAAAACAGGCAGGAGATCCATGGCAACCTGGTTGCAAGCCGAGGTACGCCTTGATGGTCTTGGATGCTACTTAGCTGCACCGTTTTGTAGCTGTCGGCCGTGCATTTTTGAAGTGATCTTGCAGGAGATGCAGGTGGCCGCCGTCAGCCCGGACTCCTTGATTTTCAATGCATGTGTGGGAGCCTGCAGACGCGGATCCCAGGGGCACCTCGCGCTTCAGCTTGAAGCCAAAAACGGAGAGCGGTCTGTATCCGTCATGGTTCGGTGCAAATCTCGCATGAGTACCTAGCTGTATAGTGACTGTAGTGTCCAAATCGGCTTGAAGCCGGTCCAGCTCAGACACACTCAATGATTCGCTCCCCAGGACGTTTCTATTTCTCAGTGCCCCGTGCTACCAGCATCTCTGCTCCCCACGCTCGGGCCACCGTCTAACTCAGCCGCCAGAACAAATGCATCAACGGAACCACCAGCCAGTTACTAGGCACAGACTCCACGTCTCGAGAAGCATAGTGATGGTCGGCTCGGCTTTGACGCCACCCGCACGCTTGACAAATGAGCTGCCAGCAACTTGCCTGCAACTTCAGTTTTTTGTTTTGGCGCGAGTCTTCCCCGACGGCCCTCTTCTTGCCGTACTCTCATATCTGGGCCATCCGTGGCTCAAGAAGGCAGCTCAGCCACCAAGATGAGGACGGTCTCAGGCCGCCGCATGTACGGCAGCTGGCGCTTCAGAGTCAGACTGCGATCGCCGACATGGACCTGTTTTGCTGGCTGACGTGCACAACCCAAGAGGCAAGAGTCCCACACAGCTGGTGGGGCAAGTGGATCGGCCAAGAGCCAATGACGTTTTGCTTTGGCTTGAGCGGAATTTCGCAGGTTGACGGCGGTTCGCATTTGTCTTGAGCAGGTTTCTTGCTGGTTTGTGTCCAGATCTGTCTTCTCGACCTGCCCCTCCCCACAGCGAAGCAGAGCATCCCCGAGCAAAAAGGCTGAGCATGGCATGCTTGCAAGAGTCCCACCTTTGATATCCTTTGATCGTGGGCGATTTGCCATGCTCGACCCAGGTATTTCAGCTTGCGGCAAAGCGCCTCGGCACAAGCTACGAGCACCCGTTGCAGAGTGTTCCACCATGTCCTACTACTTCCCAATCTTTCGGGTAATTGTGCTTTTTGTCGCCCGAGGAGTGTTCGGCCACCTTTGCCCAGCACGATGCGAACTTCCATGGAGCTGCGGGCAGCCACCGCCAAGGGGCCTGGAGGCGCCAAAGAAGACCTTGGTACATGGGAGTTTCCGTAAATAAGGGGTGCCTTAATTTGGGGTCCTTAAATTAAGGATCCTACTATTTAGGGTGCTGTATTAGGGTCCCCTATTTTCGGAAACCCCCGCATTGGTAAACCCGAGAATGCTCATGGGCCTCACCGGGCAGGTGTTGCTGTGAAAGATTCCCGAGGCGTGGTGGGACCCCGATCTGAGGGTCTGAGGACTCATGTCCTTGGCATCCAGTCAGAAGCAGAGCTTGCGCCTTCTGCGCTGCATCGTTTGCCAGGCATGTCAGGGACGCTTATGCTGGTGTTGCCCTTCATTGCCTCAGCCGTGGCCAATCGTGTGGCAAATCGCGTACTTTTGGTGCCGCCCCGAGTCTTTGCAGTCCAAGAGCGAAGGCAGAAAAGTGCAACGACAAGGTTCCGATGGCCGGGCATACCCTCTTCCTCTCTCTTGCAACAAGCACTGCGCAGTTCCCGCCTTGGTTCTGAGCGAAAGGAGAAGGGAAGAACCGGCAGTTCTAGTCTTGCATTCGAGGCTGACTGCCTACTTGCTGCTTCTCGCTTGGAGGGCGTGGAAGCAACTCGCAATAAGCGCGCTTCTGAGCTATTCGCCGTGGGGTGGGGCGGCCCTTCAGTACCACGCAGCTTTGCTCTTTCCGTTTCGGGGTTGAACAAAGCATTACGAAGCATCACATAGCGAGCAAGGTGACATGTGCCAGTTCGTGGCAGCACACTGGAAGCTGCTGCTGCTGGTGGGTGCATGTGCTGAGCTAAGCTAAATTCTCCGTGTATTTGATCTAGTTCTACTGAAACCAGAAGTCCACCGGCTTCCGCAATGGCCATGCAGGCGAGGGGGCCTTTTATCCCCTGGTTTTTGCAGCAGCAGCGAAATTGCCTGGAGGACTGGTGCAGGCCTGGGAAACCATCTCTGCCCGGTTTCCGACATGGGTTTTCAGTGTTAAATGTTCCTACAGTACCCCTTCTTCGCAATATATCGTCGCAACTTTTTGGTACATGTCAATTGTGACATGTCAAAATGTATGTGTGTTATTCCGCAGACCGCTTTTGCACGAAGCGCTCTTGCACTTGGCCGTGGGTTTGCTTCAAGTGGCCCGATGTCGTGGTGATCCCTGACAGGAAATCCGATCAAGTTCAGGGTTGTGAAAATGCGAATGCTTTCGCACGGTCTTGGTTCAAGCAATTCAGCGCTCCATGCCTAGAGCCTGCGTTTTGCGAGGAGTTGTGACATACTGGCACTAGCCCTCATGTCGATGCAAGCTTGTTCAGCAGTTTCATTGCTCAGGTTCACATGGACATGTGCGACATATCTGTATCAATCCGAGCAGGTTCTCAACCAGTCTGTCGTGCCCTACACGGTTGCCTTCAGCGTGTTTCCGGCGAGCTTCAGTCGGATACATCTTGCAACTGCTGCAATGTCGGGTAGTGGGACATGCTTTCCAGCAGTCAATGCACGTTGTATCAAGGCGAATGTGTTTCGTAACCGACAGGCTAGCCTGCCCCAGCTCCTGTGGCGAGGTGTTTCTGCTTGGCCGCCGCTACACCCCTGTTCAGCTGGTCGGGGTCCGCACTTCAGCTGTTCCACTGTGTTGGACCGCTCTGATTAAGTTGATGATTGTCGATGGTCCATCAATTTCAGATCCGCTGGTGCTCATGCGTGTTGAGCGGTCTGCAATCAAAGAGCATACAGTAGCTTGCCATCGCCCCAAGCATATATTGTGTCGCGCACTGCACAGTTCGTCGTCCGCCGTCGAAGGTCGCAACGGTTCTTCTTGGCGTTCTGGTGGCAGTCGGCCTACCTGCAGGCTCCGGGCAAGCATTGAAAATGATCGAAAGTTGGAGGCTTGCTCGGGCCTTCGTGTTCTCTAAACTTTCAGATGCCCCAGTGCCTTCGTTTGTGACTGTGGCAGTTCTGCAAGATTGCAGCTTTGCTCTCAGATAGCCTTCAGTGGTTGTCGCTAATTCGGCTGTTCACTTGCAGCGACAAGACCAGTTGTTAAAGGTTTACGGTTTGCACGACAGACCCTTGGGGGATGGGCTTCACACCGGTGGTTTAGGGTTTTTAGGGTTTGATTATAGTTATAGCCGCCTGAAGCACCGAGGCAATGCCAATGGCAGCCGATGTGCGCAATGCTTCTGCCTAATACACTGCAATCCTGAAAAACATTTAGCACATTTAGCCATGGTTCGTGGAAAACGTCCTAGGTTACAGGTGGGGTCGAATGGGTCGAAACAATGCTTGAAAGCTGTGTTTGTTTTACGGTCTGCGGGGGTATGGGCTTCGGCCAGTTCCTTGCTGCTACGGCAGGAAAGAGCGTGCTGCTCAAAGGCCTCGTTGGCCATTGGTTGGTTTAGGTCATTTTAGGTGCCGGAGTCAAGCCCGTTAAGCCCTTGCCTCAGATGTGGGAGTCAGGTAGTGTACTGACTAGTGTTTCAGTGTCTTGATTCCTCAATCAGTGAACGGCTTCACCGGGTACTGGTCCAAGTCTATCCTGATGAGTGGTAATTCTCTTAACGGTTACATGGTCTTGCCCATGCGTCAGGGTACAGCAGACCCTGGGCTGAATACAGTTTACGTCCCAGTCAGGCTCTCTTTGGAGCCACCAGGTAGTAATGCACGCCGACGACTTAGCTGAATCCTGGACCAGCCGCATAGCCCTGCGGAAAATGAATATCGGTGCATGTGCAAGGATGTGCTGCAGTGCGCCGGCGCGGCGCTCAGATGCAAACGTCCAGTCAGCTTTTGGTCGAAAAGAATCTGGAGGTGCCTATGCATTGCTCGCCTTGGCCGTGACTTTGAAGGACAATCAGCTGTGGCTTTGCCGGGGGTCCTGAGAGGATTGAACGTTCCTCGATCTGTAAGATGTTACTTCGCTGTTCGCAACCCGCAAATAGCAGGACCGGATCTTTCGCAATGCACGGGAGACGGCAACAACAGCAGTGGAGGTGCGACGGACGGACTGACTGTCCTAGGACTTCAATTGTCAATACATGCAGGCCCCACTGCTGTCCAACACACAGCTCACATGCAATCCGATCTTTCCGAACTGTGTAGCAGGATCCAAATGCTGACGTTCTTGTAGAGAATATTTAGATAATCATGCACAGCAGCAGATAGTGCGAACGTCGCTTGGCAAATCTTGGCAATGCGGGGCTTATTGTCTGACTCGTAGTTCCGGAAGCATCATTTGGCCCGCATGTTGTTCATTCTGCATCAATCTGCTGTTTATTTTGCGTGTTTTCTAGTGTGGGGCAAACAGTAGATTCGGTAGACGGCGAATTGGATGGCATGTGTCCATGTTTGCAGCTTTTGGCTCGACATGTGCCCAGTATAGGTGCTGGAGCCACAATGCGAAACAACCCACTTGCCCGCACACTGCTGCTTTAAGGACCACTACTAGTGGAATCCGCGTGACCCCGAACTCTACCAGAAACATGCACGCCAAGGTTTACGTTGCTGGCCATGCCTCCTTTATTCCTGCATACTACACTCACCTCGGTCTCGACAGGCACTGCAGCTTGCGTCCTTAGCTTTTCGGTGAGCTTGCATCTGGTCTACATGGCCTGTGATTCTTCGCCATGCGCATTCTTGCGGTTTGCTGGCTGAGCACCTGGCTGCTGTTGGCTGACGGCACGGAGCTCCTTGTGCGGATTAATTAGCAGGTCAGATCCGGAGAACTTGAGCATGAGGATCGAAACATCGCCGGGGTTAGATCCCGAATGAGGGCGCATGCACGGCCTCTGTACACAAGCCATATTGCAGCTCTAGCTTCCGAGTGCTGAGCTGTTCCGAGAGAAGATGGAAAGGTGTTTCAGACTCCTTTTCGCATCGGAATCGAGCGCATCTGGCCGATATGCAGTGTGCAGAAGCGCCCACCACGCAACATCCCCTGCCAGAAACCTTGGTCTGAGATCGATCTAATCAGCTCTCTTCTGTTACTGGGCCTTCTCGTCACTGCGACACTGATCTCCTGCGCGTCTCGTTGGAACCATAAGGAGCCCTCGAAAGGAGGGCGCTCTCGGGCCGGGGTCCGAAGCGCTGGAACGCGAGGAAGCCGAAAGGTTATTGCAGAAGTGTCTCGGCTGAGCTGTGGAAAGGCGAGGGCCGTTCTTCGCAGAAGCGAGCCAGCGGTTTCTGATTGTACCCACATGTAAAACGTCTGCTTGTGCAACCCAGGTACAAGCTGACCTTCAGTGAGGAGCCTTAGCCTTGCCGGCAATAGAAACCTCTCGCTTACCTGAACACTTCGGGCAGAAGCTTGCCCAAACCTCAAGGCCCTTTACCCTCGACGCTTTTGCTATGACATGGCCGACGCGAGGATGGCGATCCGCTGCGACGGCGGGGCCAAGATCTAGCCTGCTCGGCGTGCCCACGACCAAGACGGGGCTGTCGTCTACTGCCAAGTGCGGGGAGGCTCTATCATATTACATGAGGTGCAGTTGACGTAAGTGTGGAGGGCACGATGCTACAGCCTGAGTGTCGGTACAGATCAAGGCCAGCTGGCTGCAAAGCGTGACTTGGACGGCAACTCCAGTGGTCGTTTAGGCATTGGATCTCTTTCGAGTGATGAAGACTAAGGATTCCAGAGCAAAGTTGCAAGCAGAATCAAAGGCCGGGTGACTGGAGGGCTTTGGATCTTGGGTGCCTTTGTTACTACATGGCCTGTGGGGAGAGGTCAACTGCAGCAATCTTTCTCGCCGACACGGTACTTTTTGAGTAAAGCTCCCCGGGCATAGGAGCACTGTTCCGACGGTCGCTGCCTCCTGCTGTGAGTGCCTGCTACTGGACTCTGCGTACTTCCTGTGTCTTCATGCATGGACATGCTCCCAAGGTTAACGTTTGTGCACAGAGCCGCTCAGGGAAAATGCCTGATGCAGAGAAGAAGACCGTCTTCCAACGCGGGCTAACCACGGCCTGTGAAGAAGCGCAGTTCCCTCAGCAGCTGGCCGTGGTGCCTCGACTTGTCAAGAACGGAGGCTTTGCTTTCACAGCCCACACATTAGCATGCTCTCTCAATCCATGATCGAAGCCATTAGGACACTTAGTCCCAGTCCAGGTTGTGCGAGTTGTGTAAGTCGAAGTTCAGGCTAATGTCTGTCTGTCTGCGTGTATGTATTTGTTTATAATGCATGTACGTCTGTACGTATGTATGTATGTAGGTATGTACGTACGTACGTACGTATGTATGTCAGTATGTTTGACTCGGACTGTGTCTTTGTGTGTATATGCATCTGCATTTAAACACATGTATGTGCATGTGTCTGTGATATGTGCGCAGTATGTGCGTGTGAGCATCTCTGTGCGTGTGTGTCCACATGGGTGTCTGTCTGTCTCTGTGTGTGTGTGTATGTATGTATGTATGTATGTATGTATGTATGCACGTGTGTATGCATGTATGCTGCAGCATTATGTAGAGTGAAGGTAGGTCTATGTTTGTTTGATATTGTTTGCTTGCGTGTGCATGTTCGCATGGTCGTATATTATGCACACGTGTGTGTACATGAGCTTGCGTGCATGCATGCATTGTTGTGTGTATGTATGCAGGATCAAGCTTCATTCATACAGGCATGTGCATGCATGCATGTATGCAAGCATGCCCGTGCACACAGCATGTAATGTATGCATGTGTGTGTGTACACGTGTGTGTGTGTGCATGCACGCATGTTGGTATGTTTGCAAGTGCAAGTGTGCGTGTAAGTATGCATGCATCCATGGATGAGTGTGGTATGCAGGTCTCTATGCGCAGGGATGTAGGTAGGTGGGTGGGTGGGTAGGTATGTATGCATGCACGCATGCATGTCTGCATGTTGGCCTGGTTGTGTCTTTCAGTCGTGTACTTGTTTGCTCGTGTGCAGGTCTTAGGCACAGATGCAGACACACCTGCACATGTGTGTGTGTGCATGTTGCGTTTGCGTTGCGGGCTTGCTGTCACAACCGTTCAGATCGTAGTAGCAACATAGCCGGCTTTCCGAAGACAATTAATCAGGAGACTTGCCTCAAAGTGGACCAACACAGACTTCGCTGCAGGTAGAGAAGGAAGGCAAGCAGTTCTACGTGGACTTTCAAGAAGCCCTGGGCAGCGCGCACGGGAGGGTCAACGTGAAAGCCATGAGTCCTGAGATCAAGGCCGTACCCCCGAGAGGATTCGGCTTGCCCTCAAGAGCGGACCTGGTCCCGAGAGTGAGAGGCTACAGTAACGTCCCAACAATTTGGTTACGGCTCATTCTTGTGCCGCCGCGATACAATGACAGCATGAGACCTTGTTGCAACAGTCGTAGCTACCCCATAATGTTCAACATGACACACGACACACCAACCTGTGGTTGCACAGGAGGTGGAGGCAATTGCCTGTGGAAGTCAGAACAGCAAGCACAGAATCAGCTCCCACAGCTCCAGGCAAGCTTTCAGAAAACATAAGCGATAATGGCACAAGTTCAGGCCTGTACCCAAGATTGATATGCTGTAATTTAATACGTATTTGCAAATGCTGATACCTCACACCTGATCAAACCCATTGCTGCGAATCGATCAGTACGCAGTCTCGTGGAACAGCCATCCGAACCATCTGTCTTCAGGTCTCGATCCTTTGAGATTGAGCGTCCAACATTCCAGCTGATCCGTTTTTCAAGTTTTTCAAGCTCCATGATCCTCTGCTTTTCATCGAGCAGGCTGATGTCATAAATGGATGCAGACATCTACTCCAAAAGGAATGGAAAGACAGCCTCTTGCAGAAGGCACGGGCTATCAAGATTATGTCTGCGCGATTTCATGTGCCGACCGACGGGCTTTGCCGGCCAAGATCGAGTAATGTCCAGGTTACGGGAGGGGTGGAAACCAGGCAGCTTTTCGGAAGTCGAAGATTTCTCTTTTGAAAAGGGTTCATGTCTTGTTCTGCTTTTGGGGTCGCAAGGTGCTTTCGACGCCGAAAGGCGGTCGAGCCTCGGATGTCGATTTCGGGAAGCTGATCTGCGGACCGAAGATGTCCGCCGCCTCCTTGCCGCATCTCCTGTCCTTACAGCTGCCGCAAGCGTGGTTTGCCAGCATCTTCTGTTGTGAAGACACCTGTTTCTCATACCCAAGCCAGAGCTGAGAGTTGTGGGTTCGAGCTTGCACCCGAGCAAGTGACCGGGAGTTCTCGCCTCATCGTAAGACATGATGTGCCAAACGAGCACAGAAAAATTGTGACAGCGTGCTTAAAATCACCTGCAGGGCTCTCGGACTCGAGAAGGGGCTGAAAGGAGTAAGTTTTCAGGTCTGAGAACAAATGCATCGCTTGTGATTCGGAAGTGTGGGAGGCCCCTGTGTGCGAAGAGGTTCTGCCAGCACTCCATCCCTCACTTCCAGCAGAAAGCTCCAGGAGTCGGACGCTCACGAAGATTTTTTTGTTCGCATCGTTAAGTGAGCAGTCCTTTAGAATGGAACGGAGAAGCCTGTAAACTGTAATCCCAACAACTGCGACATGCAGAAATTTTCTGTTTATGTACCCAGTACGAATACATGAGTGCTAGTCTGGATCGCTCACCTTTGATGAATAAAGCTGTGCCACAAGTGCTTCTATCATGAGTAGCCAGCTGCACCGCGTTGACGTGCGTGTGCCAGAACGTGGGAGAAACTGTGAAGAGATTTCATGTTTGTCTAGTTCATGGTGGGCGAGGCTCCTATTCTGTTGAAGGAAGCTTCTCATGCACGTTTCTGACTTTGCTACAGCTTTGCCCTGAGCTATTCGATTTCTCAGTCTCTGATCGGAGCTGCATGAAGTAGCACAAAGGTTTGCGACGAAGAGGAGGAGAGCGACGGGGACCGTGAAGAGGATGAGCTCTGAAATCACGGGGCCCGTCCGACACGGATCTCCGAGCACAGGGTCTGCAGTCACATGAGCGGACGCACGCGGAGCGTTGGACAGCAAAAGAGACTGTCCTTGACGGATTGCTGCGCTTGGAGAAAGACTCGCATCACAGCTCAGCCCAGCTTCACGACCCATTTAAATTCGTGACCCGCCATGTACTGTCGAGTCACATGGTGCGTCCATGCGGGACAACTCGCTGTGTCAACGAGGAGCCGCAAATTCTGCTGGTTTCTGCTGTCGGAGCCGCAGTCCAGCTTCTGGCCGGGGGCCTCAGAGTACTCCGCTTATGTTTGGGGTTTCTATACTATACTATATTGTACTATACTATAATATACATTACGATAATATCTTGTAATATTTTATAACATATAATAATATTATTATTATTATTATGTAATTAAGTAAGTTTTTGGCACTCTTGTCGGGTCGGGAAAGACTGAGGTGCAACTGGTTGCGTTTCCTTTGGCCTTCCCGGGGCATGTGCATCCAGACGTTCTCAGGGCCGGAGTCCCCAGCATGGTTCCGGTCAGACTAGCTCGAGAAGTCAGACTATAGTGACTAGTTATTGTAAGGGGTACAATTTCAATAAATTTGGAGGTTGGGCTTAGACGCTTGCTTGCGACCCAGTCGGGGTATGACGGATCATTGCGTGCCGGTGCACCTTTCCGCGGATGACATGGCTTGCCATGAAAACCTCAACACGAATACAAAGCCCTGGCAGATGATCCGCCAAGCAGTTAGAGTCAGCATTGTGCACACATGCGAATCTCTGATGCGCCTCTTCGAAGCATATCATGGTTTCTCTGAAGACTCGAGAGATGCAGCCACATCTTCAGACATTTCGCCGGTTTCTGAGCTGGGCTAAGGAAGGGCTAAATGAGTTGATGGGGCGGAAGCTGTCGTCCGTGCCGTGGCTAGGGACTCAACGATGAGTGTTCTTGTCACCTGACGGCACATAAGAGAGCATTTGCAGAGGATTGCCTTCACCTACTGGGTGCAGGAGCCTAAGACCTTGGATCCTAAGCGCTTGTGTGGCCCAGTTGCAACGGTTCGCAGCAACTCAGGTGCAACATCATCTTCAGTGTCTCGGCCCTGCGACTGGTCAGAAGAGCTTCGGCCTCGACGGTGGTCTTGGCGAACGCCACTGTCTCAGACACCTTCTGCGGATTTGCATCGGCTACACTTACACACCAGCGCATGCATGCAGTACTCTGCAGTATGTTAGGGGCAGAGTCAGGTCGCAGCGCTTCCACTGAGCGTGAGCCGGCTCAGCTTCCTGAGCTGGCAGTTAAATTAGTTTAGCATTAGTTCATTTTTTGTTCGAGGCCCTGGTTTTTTGCTGCCCGCTTCCTTTGCTGAAGCCGGGCTCCCTTTTATGCCAGGTTTGTCTGGAAGTGTATGTTCGGCGGTTTTTCGGTCGCACCGGGACCCTGCAAGGCCACAGCAATTTCGTTGGACCTTTGCCATGAGCCTTCTGTTGGCGGCGAGCTCAGCATGGGCTAAGGGTGCGCGAGAGGGCAACCGCTTCTAGGGAATCATTCCGGACTAGTCTGATAAGGTCGCCGGAGGCAATCTGTTGTACGGACCGGATCCCAGCGGGGTCGTTCATAAAATGCGCCTTATGCAGCCTTGCAGCATCACACCGGGAGTCCACACTCAACTTTCCAAAGCTGCATCGCCCCCGACGCTAAGGGCGCTCTTCGCCAAAGCCTTCCAGGACAAAGTAAACAGCACGCTGGCGTGAGCGGCCTCCACAGGTCGCCATGTAGCTTAGCAGAAGCCTGAGTGTGTGAGCCTGGCAATGTGAAAGAATTGTTGTTGTCTTTTGTCTAGTGATTCTAGTTTCGAAAGCTTCTTATCATCAGTGCTACTCACACAAGCATAGACAGAGAGCAAGCCATTCCCTCCTCGTGAACATCTTCGGGGGAATTCAGTGGTACACACATTTCCGAGCCTCCGTGCACGACGGCGACGACGACAACAACTACTACCGGTAGTGGCAGATGGGAGTACCGAGTCGGAGGACACAGTCACCGAATGGCCAACGGCGGGTTATTCGGTTGATCAGTAGCAGAGCTTGTTCCCCCGCCAGCGGAATTGCGAGACACACTGCTCCGAGTGTTGCACACAGAGCCGCCAGAGCCCACCGGCGCGCTAACGACCGCCGTGGTGAAGTGTTGCTGAATCCTGCCAGTCCTTGGGGCGTTCACTGTCACACTTGTGGGTCCCGCCTGGAGAAGGGGGGGGGGCAAGCATTTCGGCTGCGGTCTCCTGGCAGGAGCAGGAGGAGGAGGAGGTGCAATTGAGGTGCTGCTGTTGGTCGTGGCTGTGGCTGTGGCTGTGGCTGAGGCTGTGGTTGCTGCTGTTGCTGTTGTTGTTGCTGTTTGTTGTTGTGTTGGTGGTGTTGTTGTTGTTGTTGCTGTTGCTGTTGCTGTTGCTGTTGCTGTTGCTGTTGCTGTCGTCATCGTCATGATAGTGCGAGCTGCCGATCGCCAGCTGCTTGCTTTTGTGGAGAGACCAACACAACGTCATTTACGATTGTCGTCATAAGTGTTAGGCCCCTAACTGCCCCTAACTGTTCGGCGACGTGGCTCTCGCCTTCCAGCCATTATGGATATCAATAAGACTAGAAAGATCTAGAAGGGGTGGTCTGTATTGTAGTGACGCTGCCCGTTGGTTTGAATTCAGGTTGCTAGTTGCTTTACTTTCGTTGCTGGCGTTTTCGCTGCGTGCCAGACGTACACGCAACAAGCCGTGGACATTTCCACTGATTTCTGATCTGATCTTTTACGCAAATGTGGCAACTGCCCTGCGCGATTTTCGTTAATTTTCGCTCATGTTCAAGCTCCGCAAGAGCCGGCCTGACGGTGGTCCTCGTATTCCGAAGCTTAGACCAGACTCCTAGGCTAACACTGACAATTCCATGGTGTTTGTATCCGTCCAGTCCTTTTGAATCGCGGGCGGATTTATGGACTCCTGGGCCAACCTGACTTATGCTGTTCTTGCGGGTCTCGAGACGAGGGCCTCAGAGTGCAAAAGGCGGCAGAGCAGAGCTTCACTGTTCTGAAACTCAGGGGCAGTGCTGCGCATGTGCTGTGCATGTTCCCCTTGGACCTGGCTCGGGCAGCGACAAGAGGAGAGCAACGGGTCGCCATGGCGGAGCTTTCCTTCCTTAGGATACTCAAATTCATGTTGGGACCACCAGGCGCTCGGTTCCCAGCTGCACCGGCAGTCCAGTCACACAAAAGCAACTTCGGCTGACTGCTCAGGTCCCAATATTCCTGGTGCTGATGTTTGACGCCATCCTGGCAATGATTGTGTTGACAGTTGTCCTGCTGCCTAAGCCCCAGCTCGTGCATACAAGGAGTAGCGCAGTTTTGTGGCCTGCTGTGCTGCGGCCTTGCTGGCACCAAGGATCTTACCAAAGCGCGTGCTTTCCAAGTCGAAACTGGTTCGGACGGCTCGCAACAAGCTGCCCGGCTGTGAACTGCAGCACATCAGTTGAGGTGGAGTAGCTGAAAGTAGTTCTGGTGTTGCCTGACGGAGGTTGCTTCGGTTTCTCTCCAGGATGGTCGAGCGAGAGCCCTACCAAGATGCACAGTTGTCATGCCTGACCACAACGGAGCACCGAAACTGCTGCAGAAGCTGTGGGATTGCATGACAAGGTTGTCGATGCAGGGACCGTCGGATGCTCAATTAATGTTCCTTGGGACGTGGGGGGTTATGATACAGCAGCGTCGAAGAATGTTTGCACACTGCACGCCGTCGAAGTTAGTTGTGCTGCTCTGAGAGGCTCCCAGTCTGACGCCATGTGCGTGCTAACATCTCGGGGAGAAAGGGATGGAGAGCCGAAGAGAGAGAGAGCAACACGAAGGAGCAACAGAGGCATGAAGGCAGAGTTGGAGGCGCAAACCATTTCCTTCCTGGCTAAGGGTCGCTCTTCTAGTTGTTTGGCTCGGACGCAAAGTCTTCCGAGGCAGCGCGGAACTGAGATACTCGAAGGGGCAGGGCACGGCCAGGGTAGAACAGCTGGAAAGCTTGTTGGCGTTATCCTGCACATGCACAGCGGAAGAGTGTGTGTGATTTTGTGATGCTTAGAATCACTGTTGAAAACAACTCAATGTTGGAGATAATGTGATCAGGGCGTTTGATCAGCAGATGTCTGTGACAACTGTTGTGCACGTTCAGCGCTACGTTAGTTTGTCTACTTGCAGCCTTTATCTCAGTATGTTTTATTTATCTTGGGCTGTGTTAATACGATCGTTTGTTGCGGGTGATTTGTGTCAATGTGTCTGTGTGAGCATGTTGCGACCACCACCACGACGACGTCTACCACTACCACAACTATGACCACCATTACTACTACATCTATACTACTTCTACGACGACGACGACTACTACTACCACCACCACCACCGCCACCACGACGACGACTAATTACTACTACTATAATACGACGACGACAACTATGCTACACTCTGATGCGTCCGCTTTGGATGTGAGGTGCCTCTTGGGCAGCTTGAGACTTGTTAAGTCCTGGGTCTGGCAGGTGTGTCTTGTAGTCTATTGCCACTACATGTGCCCAGTGCACCCCAGTGTTTATGTTGCCTAGGACTGGATTCTGTGCCGAAGCCGCCTCATGAGCCTCAACAGCAGTGGGCTGGTTGTACCATCCTTGCCCCGTTTGTGTCCTACCTCCAACTTTTCCTCGACGTTGCAGCTGAGGGCGTTAGCCCGAAAGCTGAAGGCACCTATGACGTGCGGAACTAAACTAGACGATCTTCCTGTGCTGCACAGCGCTTGAATCGTCTCTTTTTGTGACTCAGGTGTCTGTACAGTTCTCACCAACGAGGGTATGGAACCCGTTCCACCAGGTCCATCTGATTTGGGGTTGCTCAAAGCCCTCAGCCTCTGCATGTGCAGTGTCACGACCTGACATGCACCGCCTGGAAGTTCCCGTGTTTCGGCAGGAAACGTACGTGGTGGCATTCCGGAAGGAAGGCGTAAACTGGTTGGAGCACCTCGCCTTCGTTGGAGCGGCCACAGGGACAGACGTCGGCTTACAGCGTGAGGTACATTGCCAGATCGTCACGTTCAATTTTCTACTCTTTGTGAGCGATGTCCCTGTCCTGATATTTGAGGCGACCGTTCAAGCCGGGCGAGAATCTCGAAGACATGAGTGGTCCAGCTGGCACCGTTTGATTCAATTCTGATAGGACGGGGTATGCAAGATCCTGCATTTGGCTTTTAGTCCAGTTGCCATGTCTCCGTCCCTCTCCCTCCGGCTTGTTGTCTCGCTGTCTCTCTCTGTCTCTGGCATTGACGTTGCAGGGGATGCCAAGAAAGGCAACAGATTCAAGCTCGGCACTTTGATTCCCTTGCTGCGTTACAATTCCAGGTTTGTTTCGTCGGGATCCCACCGGTATTGCAGCTCATTGGACGTGGAATAACAGTGCCTATAGGCCTATAGTAACTATAGTGTGGCAGCCCGTACGAGGGTGTGGGCATGTTGCCCGGCAGGATTCCCAGCTTTGCCACTAGGTGGGCTCATCATGCTACCGCATGAAAGCAGCGACGTCTCAACAGTCGTCCGTATCATCTGCGGCAGTTGTCAGTGTGTCGTGGACACTAGAAACAGTACTGTATAGATCGCGTAATCTGCTGACTTGTCTGGATCGCGAAGCTTGTGTACCGTAAAGTCTGCCACCAAGGGCTACTGTGGACGGCCTGCATGGAGCCTAAGCACAGTGAGATCAGTGAGCAGCCGGAGCATGTTCACCCGCTAGCACGTCTGAACTTACGGGAGTCCAAGCGGCTGCGAGACGTCACCCGAATCGAATCCCAACGCTTCGAGCGCCAATGCGAGTGTGACCTTGAGCCAAGGCCCATTGGGACTCGGATAACTTTTCGAGTCTGTTGGCTTCTGAGACGTCTGCGCACTTTTCTTATCTATAATATAGTATATATAACACAATATACTCTAATATAATATACTCTAATATAATATAATATAATATAATGTAATGTAATGTACTACAATATTATATACTATAATATAGTATAATATACTATAATATAATAGGTCTTCCCAGCCTGTACTGGTCCTGCTTGGACTTGTAGCCATCCTGCTGGGAGTCCTCCCACAAAGGGATGAGTCTTGGCTGCAGGCTGTCGGATGCGTTGAGGACTTCTACGTCTCAATAAAAGCCAGTGTCTTCTGATGAAGGCAGAAACGTTTGCTAAGACATGCTAAGACTTCGAGAACCCTCGAGGTGAAGGAATGTAAACCAGAGAGTCTTCGTAAAGACTTCTGCCGAGCTCGAAATGCAAGGCTTGCGGCGAAAGCGTTCAAAATTGCGCATCTACCAAACCCTCGTAAGTCAACCTGCGCCGCGCTCAAACAAGCAAGCTGTCCTTGTAAACCCGTCGGGGAGACGACCACTGCTCCTCTCCTGGGCCAAGACGAGACAACTGCCACTGTGGACTCATGCTGACTCCTCCACACTATTCTTCCCTTACAAGGAGCGCAGCTCTTTTTTCGTGATTGTGCGCAGTTACTGACTGAAGCAGCTGCCACAAAAGCTGGAATGCTTCTAACTATCGCTAGCACCCCTTGTGCAAACCATCAAGGTGTCGCCATAAAAACATTATTGCACGCCTTGCTGTAATGCCTGCCTGTCCGGAGCAACCATCCTGCTAGAATTCGGAAAGGGAGCTGTCCCTCAAACCCATGCCATAACAGGCCATAAACCTCACCCAAGCTAATTCGCGTCTGGAGCTTGAAACGCAGAAACACACTCCTAAACCCTAAACCCCAAACCCTAAACCCTCAACCCTAAACTCTGGCTGCATGCTTGGCAGCTATTGTAGGAGTCCGCCTTGCCCTTGGGCTTCCAGTCGGACTTGTCGTGAGTCTGCCTGGGAAGCTATGCCAGATGCGGTTGATGTTGACCAAATATAATATAATATAACATAATATAATATAATACATTATAATATAATATTATATACTATAATGTAATATAATATAATATAGTATAATATAGTATAATATAGTATAATATGAT